CCTTCACAGGACTGGAGACTTCGCTGGTTATGCTAAAAACATGTGAGAAGTACGGAGTCCTCTATTTTGACAGTTAAAATATTTCGCATCTTGACTGGCAGTCCAAAGTGTGAAGCCTAGTGCACTGCCTCTGGCGATTTGGGGATCGCCTGTGAAGAGACACATGTCTGTACAGCACGTCGTTTTGAGAGGGGGCTCTTTTTCCGGGGTTGTGGGGGTTGTTTTGATTTTTTTTTTCTTTCTTTCTTTTTAATTTACTAGTTCCAGTCGCCTGCCTATAACTATTTAATAAAACCCAAAGAAGTTGCTATATTCACTGGCTGTGTTTCACTAGAAGTGCTCCGCTGACCTACATGGCAGAGGGCGACATCCTGACTGTAACTGCAGACCTAAAAGCAGCTCCGCGTGGGTGCGCGCACCGCGGACGTGTATAAATGGAGCCGCTGGCAAGGTTTTAACAACTTCATGCCCTTTATATTCTCATACACGCTGCTAATATTTCTAGATGTGTAGAAAATCTGAATTTCAAACAGTCCGACCAAAGGCAAAGACCAGACTGCCTTCGATTATTTGGTTGACATGTTAACAGTGGCCTTTAAGGGAAGAAATGCAATTTTTATGTGCACGTTAAAGGGCACTGTAAACTTAAGTCGGATCCAAAAATCTTTAAAACTAACAAAAATGGTTTAATGATTTTTTTAAAAACCCAGTAATAAAGTTCTGAAATATTAATAATTCCCAGGCACTTCTGAAACAAAAAAAAATGTATAAACCTAAAGATCCCAATAAAAGTGAACAGATTTCACTGTTCGAATGAAGATAGTGAAAAGAAAGAAGGGGTTACTACATTTTTCATTGATTCAGGATATTCTAAATCAACAGGTAAACACAGGTTTTAAATGCCATAGTCTGTAAAAGCAGATTTAAAAAAGCCTGTTTGTGAAATATCCAATATAATTCAAAATTATCTAGAAAGAATATCTGGGAGTCTGTTCCCCCCACCAGCATGCATTTTATTGTAGGCATTTGACAGCATTTTCTCCTAGCTAGGATCAGTGGCTGCTTCCCAGCTGCATGGATTTTTCTCACCCAGCATGAAAAATGAAAAGTTTTAAAAAGAGTTTAAAAAGTTAAGACGATTATAAAACTACAAAAGCTGGTAAGGAAACAAAGTCAGTGTTAATAATATAAAAGATTTTCTAAAAAAACCACCAGTTGGCTGGGTTTTCAGTTGCCAGCATCCTTTTAATCCTTTCTTACCAAGAATCTGACTCTTGCTTGCAAACTGTCTGTCACCAGAGACGGATATATTCATTTTTAATTCCCAGAAACTGAAACGTGAGCCTTAATTGAGACACTCTCAGGTTCACTCAGTCAACTTTTGAATGGTAAAAAAAATCAAAGCAACCCTCTCAGAGAGTTTTATTTTCTAGACAATCAAAAAGCTCCAGAATGCTCCAAGATCCACAAATATAGTTAAGTCACTTCTACAAATAAGGTTCAGTTTATAAGAATTTGTCATTTAAACTAGACTAAAGGACTTCAGTTATGAAACTGCCTTACAAAACATCAGTAAATTCAATGACCACATCTGGAAGATTTACAAGGTCTTGCACCAAGAGGTTAAATGCACTACAAATACCAGTGCAGCCTGTATTCCTTCAGGGAAATACAGCGCAGTCATGTGCAAAAGTACGTTAAAACGTGTACTCCTAAACAAAGTCAATTACATACAGCTAAGACTTTAAGATATGTAGTCTGCATGGCCTTTAAAAAACTTTGAGAAAGAGATTATATTAGAAACAACTTTCCTAAAAACATTATTTTTGAGCCTTCATTAAGCACCATATGAATATTTTAAAACGGCTACATCATTTTCTCAAAGCTTGTAGAGGCTGGATCTACACTGGAAGATTTCAGGAAAAACACCCAAAAACTAAGTGGAAAGCACAGCAAACAAATTTACATTAACATCTGCTCACAAGAATGTGGATAAACGACATCCCAAATACAAAGGCTGAAGGACTCCATTGAAAACAAAGCAGCACAATATGACAGTTCAACAGGAAACATCGATTTTGGTGGTCACTCTCAATCTGGAATGTGAACAGCGTACCCCCCACCCCCGCACCCCTTACCCAGTGTTACACAAACCTCAACACAGCTCCATTCTCTACGCACAAGACACACAAGAACAATCTCTAAGACCAAAGAAAGCAGGTCGAAGTAAAATCGCTGAAGGTCTCTGCAGTCCTTCCTGCAGCTCCTACTGCACACAGACTTTCGCAAGAGGTTCATTTTCCCTACTCTGAATGTCTTCACGGTTTCAGAGTTAGCCAGCCCGCGCCTCAGCACAGCTCAGCCGTGTGAGAAGCTAAATCTTCTGACAGTTTAATTGTGGCGCACTAGCCAGAACCACGCTCAGCTGATATTCCACGTCTAGTGGCCTCTACCAGTATTTACAATGAGGTGGCATCTCCACGCTAGAATGACCAGAAATTGGGATGCCTGGTCACTAAATATCATTTTGGATCCCTATTTACACTCTGATCCCACTTTCATGAGCGAGTTAGTCTCCCAACAAACAGAGATAATCCACGACTCTCTTTCCAAGTGTTCTCACACGCAGAAATCTGTCCTTTATCAGAGAAGCAGATACAAAAAATACACCCTCTGATGTTGGATGGACTCAATGAAGAGAGCAGTAGTCCAAAAGACTAGCCCTGCTAGGCTGGAGGTGGCATTTTCGAACGTGCCGGCAAGATTCACAAGCCCACGTTTTGCTCAGGTTTTCCAAACTGCCAAGGACCCAAAACCACAGCAGGATTTTCAAAGGAGCTCAGCTCCAGATCTGGCATCTGCAGGAGTTGTCTCTCTGATGGCCTTAGTTTAGATGACTAAAACAGGAGCTACAGAGCCCTGAATTTTTTAAAGATCTCGCCCCAGGGAGATTTTTCTATGATGATGTGTGTCACTACGATACTGTTCTGCTATTACAAACACAAATTTACAGATGACCTGGAACAGAGACTACTGAAAGCTCATGCAACTTAAGTTGCAGAAAGTAAATGTAGCATGTGATGCCAGGATCTCCCTGCAAAGGTGGCACTCAACAAGAACTTAGACCAGGCAGACATTTCAAAAGAAGTCTCTCTACCTTCTGCTGTTTTCAGGAATCACTAGTAGAACGACTTGTTTAAAAAGAAGTTTGCAGCTTCTTTCCTCGTCCTACCTGATCTGGCAATGAATTCTTAATAACTGCATTTGTGACATCAGAATCACCTCTCACAAGTGAATTGTGACATCACAATTACATAGGACTCCTGTTTCACTGTAGGATGAAGCAGATGGAGAAGCTGAATCGTTGTTTTTCAGTATGTAAAATAAAAGCACAAGGTATGAAAAACCCCCCCACCCACCTGGTTAAATCAGAGGGCTCTTTGCTTTTTAGGTTCCATCTAATGTTTGCCAAGTGTAAAGCCTTTACACTAAAAGCCTCAAGAAGTGCTCTCCTGTTAAGTGGGAGGAACTGCTCATTCTTTGTCAGCCATGTCTGTCTACAGACTTCTGATCTAGCCCTTACTCCAACTAGAAAGATTCATACGATTTGCCTTTTCATGAAACACTCATGAACAACATAGTAAAGAAGCATTAACAGTCTTATTTCACAGTATATTTCAGTTTTGTCTCTTCATTAGGAAACAGTAGGTCACCCATAAGCAAACAGGATTTCTGCTGGTGGCGTGTTTTCTTCTAAAGCTTCCCAGCTTGATGGATGATAGCTTATATCAACTTGGTACTGGAGAGGTAAAAAAAATCTCGCCTCCTTTGAGAGCCAACCTTTAGCTATCCCAGGAAAGAAACATGAGGTCCACACTGCGGTTTAAAAAAAACAAAACAAAACAACGAAACAGTACTTGGATAAATTCACACAACATAAACCACGAGCAGGATCACCAAAGACTAGAAGAAAACATAGTAAAAGAGAAAGAAAAGGATTTGCATACAAAGAGCCTAGTAAAAATTTCTGAGATTTCCTACCCAATTGCTTCAAGAAGGGTCTTCAGAGCTGTTTTATACGCATAGCTCAGATAGCTGTATTTAGCTTCTCCTTGGCTACATCAGCTGTGAACCTGGCCATTTAATCTACCAGAACCAGAATTCCCAAGTAACCTGACCGACAGCTTTTAACTTCTACCGTGAAAAGCTGAAGACAATTGGGCAGTTCGCTCAGTCTAAACTGAGAGACCAAGACACTAGACACCACAACGTGTGCTTAGTATTTCTTATGCCAAGACTACTAATGTCTAAATCACCTTAAAGACACGTCTGAAGGCGTGTAGTCCGAGCTCTTGAGAGAGGAAGATGCAGTAAAAACAGTTCAGAAAGAGAAGCTTGTTCTCCAAATACCTGCAATTAAGGACACATGAAATATACGTATTCTTACTGTTTATGCTTCCAGCAGCAGCATAGTTTTGTTATCCTGGTTTGTCTGCCTTGGTTTCCAGGTCAAATCCAGTCTAAGCAAACACTTAAGGTTTACAATTTAGATAATACTGTCCTAATACAGAAGGATCACAACTTGGTTTAGAAAAATCCCAGGGTAATGAATGAAAACTACATTTCTTTTAATGCAATCTTCACGGAGAAGATGGTGCCCCTGTCGGATCAGGGATTAAGGACCACGACAGCATTATGTGAAGAAACGTGTTATCAAAACAACACAGAGACGTTCCACCTGCAAACTCAAAACTAGGAGGCAGAGACACCACTGGAAATTGCTAAAGTACAACCTCTGTGAACCCCAGACAGAAGATTCTTCACAGATTTCTGGTGCACAGCACTTAAAAGTATTAAAAATTCCAATTGTCCCCACTCTTCTATTAAAAAATGCAATAACAAAAACCAGCACAGTCTCACTAATTGGGCAAATAGGCAGTTTTCTGTTGCAGACCGATCACTAGGGAGACACTTCAAACACTCCCACACTCCTCTCAGTGCTACATAAGCGTTTCTCGGTCTGATAAGCTCCTGTGGATTTCCTGCTTGTCATCACCATCGGCATCATCATCATCAGCTGGATCGTTTTCCTCTCCAGACTCCACATATATGGGCCAATCGTTATCAGCATCACCTTTCTCTTGGCCTTCTGATGAAGGTTCCATGAGGCTGAGGTTAATGGGCATCGAGTCCTCATGGGTAGTGGTCACGCAGGTGCAGCTGTCGCACAAGCCAAAGCGCCGTAATCCTTGAGACAGGCTGCTCGTGAATGTTCTCCTGCAGCCCTTACAGATAATGGGCTTGTTCGATCGATGCACCTGAAGTTAAAAATAAAACACTACGGTAAAAAAGCCAATCTGCCTTCTGGCTTTAGCTCTTTCCAGGGTGCTGGTTTGCATCTATTCCTAGAGCAGAAAACTAGCTACACTTAAGCCAAAGAGAAGATGATCCCACCACATTTCCAGCGGCAAATATCTGGGGCTACATAAGTGCTAATGAACCAAATATCAGTGGCTTAAACTTATTATTAAAAAAAGTTTCTCTCACATTGGCAACAGTCATTTGGCCTGGCATATTTTGGGAAACAGAATCGGGAAACACCAAAAACTTCTTAAAATTTCCTGGTAGAACATAATCTTTCAAACTTACACTTAAAGCATGACTCCGAAGGTGTTCCTGCCGAGTGAAACGTTTCCCACATGTCTCACAGGGGTAGGGCCTCTCACCTGTGTGAGAGCGAATGTGCCGTTTTAGTATTCCTTTCTGTTTAGCCAGAACGGACATTTGTGAAGCTTGATTGGCACAACTAACACATCACCTTTTGGAAAAAAAACACAACGCGTTAGGTTAGGCAGCTCACCACCATTAGCTGTGTCGGCTCCTTCTCCTCCGTGCTGCAAATCCGAGTCAAGATAATGGCACTTTCCCCTCTCTCTGTATTTGGCTTACCTGGAATTTCTGTAGGTTGTGCAATTTCAGAAGACATTCGTGCAGCTGCAGCTGATCAAGTCCCTTGAAAACCAGCCTGCCTACACTTACGTAGTTGATACTCTAAGGGAGGTGGCTCACAACAGAAAAACAAATTAATTTTATTTTAAGAAGCCATTTAATTAAGCCAAAAATTTGCTTTCAGTGCAGTGGGGTATCTGCACTATCTCAGCCATGGAAAGTCTCCAACTTTCTTCTTTTTTTTAAGATACCATTAGCGTTAAACAGCATTAGAAACTAAAATCCTTAACACAAATTACAGGCAGAAGCAGCACAGTGTCTCCCATGTGCTTTTACAAAGTGGATAAATTTAGATGTGGGGAACCCATCTAAAAATATGAACGCCTGTTTCTACTGCCATTCACTTTAGCCTTTCTATTGGAAATAACAAACTGCAGGACTCCAGTACATCTGCTGATGGTATTTTACTTTTCCTAAAAATCAAACTATATGCACACAAGTAATATGCAGTTTACAAAGCCAGATGCAAAAAGAGATAATTCAATTTGAAGATCACATTTTACATAAGTGTGGGTATTGCCAAGATTTTCAGTATCAGCCCGGATATGAGCTTCCTTTCCAGCATGAAGGTTGAGATGTTACACAAATGGGTTAGTTTTCCCAGTTCCAGGTACTGATCCAGCAAAGTGTTTGCACATCAAGCCTTGTGCTCTTTAACAGCCACACCACGGTAGGTGGGGCTGTAGAACATTCCTTGTACGTTTTTCCAACTCAGCCTCAAAAAAAAGCAGCGTCTCCTATTAACGTGTGGCTATCAAGTGAAATTCATCTCTACCAGTTTCGGACCTTCACAAGGTATTGCTAATCCCTGCTGGGCATTTAGAGTCCATTTAAAAAAAAAAAAAAAAAGTTCTTAGTCCTGCCTTGCTGCCAGGCTCTCCAGAGGTGCCCCTTTACCCTCCATCAGCTGTGAAGGGGACCAGGGTGACTGGGACAGACGTGGACACTTGAAAGTTAAGTGGCATTTACCTCATCTGTCAGCCTGAATGCCCGAGAACCACTCTTTGATCAGGGTTTTTTCTCATTCCCGGGGTCTCGTGAAAATGCTAAGATGGCAGGGCCACTAAAAGGTGAGAAGAGATGCTTCCCTTCTACTAAAGGCTTACCATGTTCAGTTTTAGCAGAGAAACACAACTAATGCGAGGGTTTTTCCCCCCCTAGTCCTATTTAAAGCACATCTACCATTAACATTTCTAATACCTTGTCAACACCTGATGTTCTCCATCAAATTCTAGAGGCATGTCCCTTTTAATAATTCATTAATAGTCTGAAGATCTTGAGAGAGGAAAAAAAGAAAGAAAGTTTGTGCGTTGGATGCTCTTGCCTCGCTACACGTCAAAGACCGTAGGCATGATCTGGTGACAGCACTGTTCCGGTAACTTCAGTCTTTTGGTGTCTGTAAGACTGGATTTGTGATTTTATCAGATTCCTTATTTTAAAGCAGCAAGAGATAATATCAGGTTTATTGGCTTTAAAATCACACACGCATACTCAAGCTGGAAATGACATGAATGTAAGCTTGCTATCTAGAGCAGAATATTCAGTGAAAGATTTCCTCTCTGCTGCCCACACCGTTATTCCATTTGTCACATCCCGAACAGTGATGGCACTTGCAGTGTTTGTCAGAGCCACCTCCTGTCTTCACAAGGCAGTTTGGACGAGGCAAGTCGTGCACCAACAGATAAAATGCCCAAATCCTTATTATCCACTTCAGGAGAAATGCCTATGGACAAGACCACCTTCTTCTCCAGGTCCCTGACACTGCTGCTGGGAGAGATTCCTGCCAGCATGAGACATCGCAACAGGCCTGAGCTTGGGAGAGCAGCAGAACCTCGGGTGACCAGCGGTTGAAAAGCGAGTCTGCCTCTACAGGTAAAAGTTAAGTCTCATCTTTATGCAACACCACAGAGTTTAAAGCTTTCAGTGCTCTTAAAGAACCTCTAGGTATCACTCAGTATTGAACAAAACTGATTTCTGCCCTTTTTGAAGTTCAAAGTAACAGCAAACAGACTATCATCCAGCAACTGATGCGCTGGCAGGAGCTCCAGTGGAGTTAAGCTACTTCTGCTCTGTCAGGTTCTACAGCAGATCCCTCTTGTGGCAGCTCAACTTATCTTTCTGATTGCTCTTTAGAACGCTAACATCATGAAAGGAAGATTCTCTTTAAAAATTCACCTGCCATTCAGCATGGTCCCAAATGAGATTGTTTATTAAAGCAGCGTCACCAACACCAAGCTCCAGGATCTGTTTCAAAGAGACTGTAAAAGCTGTTAGAAATACTTACCTCCCAAACGCTGCACTGAATAAACGAGTACAGCTTTCTTTTGAAGTCCAGAACAAAAGTTTATTTTGCTACGGCATAATATTCAGCAATATATTCCTGAACAAGAACGAAAGTAACAAAGGAAGTCGCACAACTAAGCGGTTTTCTCCTCGATTATACAGACTGCACCCCCCGGAGTCCTCTCACCTGTGTCCTCACCATACCAGTCGCTGTGAATGTCCATCATGGAACTCATGGCTACCCCTGCATCCTCTGGCCTACCCTCAAAGCCCCGGACAAAGTGATGAACCACATCATCCTTTCTCTGAGCTGAGCTGTTGCGCAACAGGGCCTCTAGGAATTGTTTCATATGATAGTTATTGCAGGCCAGGTCCATCGCCTGCCCGCCGTGCAGCCCCTCTTCCATCTGCTCGAGGGACAACGGAGTCGGATACTGCGGCAGGCGGTCCCCCACTTTTCATCGGAGTCAAACTCCACTTTGGGTTCCACCCCCTTGGGCAGCGAAGAATTCACGTCGTCTGGAGAGTCGCTGCTTACGGGGTCTCTGACCACAAGCTCCAGCGGATGGCAGCTGCTGCATTCACCGCAGGGAGGATCTCTCTGGCAATCCGAAATCCTTTCCTTCTCCTGCAGGGAAGAGACAGAGGCAGAGCACTGGCTCTTTGAGCTGTACGAGGTGCCCTCTCTCGCAGAACTAGCGCTCCCACTATCAGCTTGATAGAAAGCAGCTTCTCTCTCTATTTTCCTGCAAATATCTAACGACGACCTTATATACGTTTTGCAGAAGTTGACCACATCGGTCATCTGCAAATAGCTAGCCGCAGACATCACCTCAATAACATTTTCCCCACAGAGATCTAGCTTCCCGGAATAAAGGAAATCCAGGATGATGGAGAAGGCCTCCGAGGTGACAATGTCCAGCGAGGCGGTGCTGTGGCGTCCGCTGTCTTGGATGTAGTGAATCAGCAGGGCTCGGAAATAGCCGCTGTTGGCGAACAAAATGTTTTTATGCGCTTTGAAGATTCTCCCCTCCACGATGATGCTGCAGTCGCAGAAGAAGTCCCTCTTGCGCTGCTCGTTGAGCTCTCCCAAAAGCTTCGTGTAGTACGACTGCATCTCCATCGCTCCCGCCGCCGCC